AAGAAATCCTGTCTGGTGTTTTGTGTCCTCAAGCACCATGGGGGGCAAAGGCACACCCCTGTCGTGTCTTGAGTTGTAGAGCAAGTCAGCTGCAAAGCAAAACTTTCATCTTCTTCACCAAATGGACATGGTTAATATAAAACATGGACATTGGTTCTCACTGTTCAAAATCATTATCAGGGTTTATGGCAAAAGACACCCCTTATAGTTATGTGTTTTATGTGTTTCAACAGTTGTTAATGCAATATGTGATATTTGGATTTTATTAACCCCATTGAGCCTCTCCTGTTTCAGAGAGCAGCAGCTACCCCTGCTTTGGACTAATAAGTAAGTCAGACTGAAATATTGTTGCTACTCCTCCTCTCCCAGAATTTCTGGGTATGTACAAATTTAAATAACTAGAGGGAATTGCCTCATTTATGCTCACTTAACACTCTTGCTGTAGCGAAGTTTCTAAGACAACATAAATCAATTTGACTGTCCCAATACAAGTCATTAACTAACAGGCTTTTAAGAGAAAGAGTTCTTATGCTAAATAATGCAATCTTACCTTTTGCTCCTTCCTAGTCCTTAACACCAACAATTCCCCCGATTCCCACTTTACTTATGAGTTCATGCTATCCCAAATTTCCATTAAGTGAAGAAATAATTGTATTCAGGTACATATAGACATGCATGTACATACATGCATGCCCACATCTTGATACATATAATTACCCATAGCTCACATGACCACAAGAATTGGAAGCATGTATGCACCTATGAACAGTAACTAAAATTTCCCATTAATGTTCACTGTCCTTTTTCCATTTCATATCTTTTTAGGGAAGCCAGCTTTTTTTCCAGGACATTTGTATCCTTTGAAATTGATTTAATTAAACACTGAGCTTGCTCCATACTTTCACACCAATATTGAAACACGGATTATTCTCATATTTGTTTGCACTTATAAAATCTTGAAATTTAGATTACCCCTATAATATATAGCTATAACCTCCCTCACTCTCAACCCAAAAAAAATTTCATGCTAGCTGTTTATTTCTAGCTTTTGAAACTAACAGATCAGAGAATATAAACAATCAGGAAGGAATGAATAAGGGATTACTGTGATTATAATAACACAGTTTATTTATTATCCTGATGGTTTTTTTCTGCAGCGTGTCTAGCAGTTTAAGTGATGTCCCTTAGGCCTTCCAGACTTCTACACAATATCACAAGTATGGTAAAATCGTTGTAATCACGTAACAGGCAATACTTTATAATTCAGGACTTTTTTTTTTTTTTTTTTTTTTAGCTTTATAAGGAATTTCTATGCTTCCAGATAGTTTAGTGTGGACATGTTTTGTGTGAGTTTTCCCGCACAAGATCTTGACGTCAATAATCACAGCCAAGAATTTGTTCTAGCTCCAGCCCATCTATTTTGATTTATATATCTAAATTTCCTTTATAATTTAAACAAAGTTTTATCCAAATTCAACCGTAATTTGTTTTTTTTTCCTCCTCTGCTCAGTGCTGCAGTGGGTAGCACTGCTGCCTTGCAGCAAAAAGATTCTGGTTTCGATTCCCGACCGGGGGTCTCTCTGCATGGAGTCTTGCATGTTCTCCCTTTGCATGCGTGGGTTCTCTCTGGGTACTCTGGCTTCCACCCACAGTCCAAAAACATGACTGTTATGTTGACTGGCTTCACTAAATTCTCATTAGGTCTGTGTGGGTGAATGATTGTTTGTCCTGTTTGTCTCTGTGTTGGCCTGCGATGTCGAGGTTGAACCCCGCCTCTCGCCTGTAGGCAGCTGGAGATAGGCACCAGCACCCCTTCCCTGGGATAAGCATGACAGAAAATGGATGGATGGAATTTCCTTCTCCATACTCTGTGTATGCTTTTTTCTATGCAACTCTGACAAAAAGACATACATGTCAAGTTGACAGATTCCCTACCTGAGCTGCAAATCACTGCAGAACCTTTACATTTAGCATCAGCATGTTATTGCTTTCTTTAGATCATGTTGTGGTGAATTTCTATTGGTGCCAGAATCTTCTTTTTGCATAATAAAATGAGCAGGGGCCCAAGAGATATTTAAAGCTTGGAATATGGTTTTATGATTTAACCCTTCCTAGGTCTCCATCACTGGCCTAGATGTTGTATCTATTGGTCTTCAGGATGCAGAATATTGAGTCATACTAGGCTATACAGAGCAGCTGTAACTGGATTAAACTGCACAAATGTGAACCTTTTATACAATGTAATTAGGTAGCCTCTTAAGGTAATGGTTGCATTATTTTCTTTAGGTAGGGCAAGGCAAGTTTATATGTAAGCACTTTTCATCATAAGACAATTCAAAGTGCTTTACACAAACAGAACTAAGAAGAGAAAAACTGAAAAGAGTGCAATGCAGTACCATAAAAAAAAGAGGTATAGGGGTAAACGGGCTGAATACAACTCAATGTTGCATTTTTTTCGGATACAATTTTTAAAACATGATTCTTTTTCCATTTTTCACAAAGTCCTTTATTTTGTGTTGACTGTTTTCATGAAATAAAATACAAGAAATGTTGTACAAATGTCGCACAATGTAGTGTCATTGGTAAAAGACACTATACTGATTGAATCAAATACAAGATAATTATTTAACAGACTTTAAACCCTTCTAATAGATTTTTTTTTTAAATCGCAGCCTGCCAGCAGCGACACAATCGCTTGAAGCCACTATAGAGAGTAGAAGTGAAAAGACAGCCTGGCACTGCAGATTGCAGGCTAAATGCAAACCTTTGTGTATCAACTTTGAGTTGATGGCAAAATGATAGACTTTATTTGATTCACACACAGCCTTTAATTTAAGCCTGAGTAATGACTTGCCTTTATCCTTAGTATTCATATGATCTGAATTCTGTTGTATATACACCAGCTTCTGATCCTCGGTTTGGGTCACAGAACTTATTTCGTAACATGAGCCTGTTATTGAATTGATGACCGTCTATATCCTTAACTTGCAGCCTGCTTCTGTTTATCTTGCTGAAGTAAACCTACTTATCCAGTCTACTCATTTTTTTTATTTTTATTTGTGTCTGGATGCAGGCTGTGGAGTTTATGGAGTGCCATACTTTTCTATCTATATTTAATGGGTGGTTAGTTTTTAGAGGGAGAACTTCGAAAAGCTTATATAGTAGAAATGAAATACATTGAGATGAGATCATTATTGGCGGATTTTACCATTGACTGACGCTAGGAGATGAATGAAGCTAAAAATCAAGTCTTTTTTTCCACAAAGTGAAGGGAAGACAGTCAAATAAACCCAGTGCCAACACTCCATGTTGAAAGCAACAATGGTCTGGAAGTTATAAACAAGAGAAGACTAAAGTGACCCATATTCAAGGAAATGTTTATTGATTATTTTTTCCCCTGAAGACATTCAGCAGTTATTCAGGCTGCTGTAACATGGATTAGACTTCAGTGGATAGAAGCAACTGAATCCCTTAAAAAAAGTTGCTTCGTTATTTCCTATTAGACTTGTAATCTCCATCTGTTGTTGAGCCTGTTAATTTTGGAGATGTAGACAGCCACCTTTTTAGAAATATGAGTCAAAGTAAGGCTCAGCTTTTTTTAAAGCATACACACCTGTTATTTACATTGGGTAATGCTCACTGTGCTGTCATTAAAATTTAAATCAAATTAAGCGTCATAGCCAAGTAAGACCATCTTCTCATTGATGAATAATCATAGATGGTAACTAATGGTATCTACACATTTCAGGTTAACCAATAACAATCAATTTTAGTCTGTGAGTGAGACACCCTGTCTACTTTTAAGGCTAGGCTTAAAACTTTCCTTTTTGATAAAGCTTATGGTCAGAGTGGCTCAGGTTATCCTGAGGTATCTCTATAGCTATGCTGCTATGGGCTTAGACTGCTGGAGGACATAGGGACCCCTTTTTCATCATTCTGCTTCATTCTATCTCTATTCTCCAACTGTGCAGTTTGTTATTTCAATCTCTAATGTTACACTCTCTCTTTTTCTTAAAGTAGCTTCATCTGGTAATTTCCTGTTTGACTGTGACACCATCCTGAAGAGAAATATCAGCTGTGATGCTGCAATCAGACCTTTGTTTATAGATATTCAAGATTGGCCTATTTTTTTGTGTGGTCCTGTTTCTCTGACTGTGACCAGCTAGATGTGCTCTCTTCATCCTCTGACATGGGAGCTGGCTCGGAGCTCGTCTGTGTGTTTCCTGGATGGGGCCACCTTTTGTATCTTTGCTTCTTTCTGTATGTCTGCTTCTGCCTCCTTTAACCCCAGTCGGCCTCGGCAGGTGGCCGCTCACACTGAGGCTGGTTCTGCTGGTGGTTTCTTTCTGTTAAAAGGGAATTTTTCCTCTCCATTGTCGCTACAAGCATGCTTAGTGTGAGATATTGCTTTTGAGTCAATGCAATCAACTGGTTTTCCTTAGACAGAAAACTTTAAATCCATTTGACTGTATAATGTGGTGAATTGTAAAGTGCCTTGAGATTATATGTGTTCTGAATTGGCGTTATATAAATAAACTGAATTGAAATTGAACTGAAATGTAACATGTCAGAATGCTTTTTTCTAACGTACCAAATAGGAATCTACTGGTATTTATCTTAAATAGATTTTGTGTAAAGAGCATATACTTTTCTTTGTTTGGAGGTGTGAATAAAGTTAACCAGGTATTTTTTTAAGTAATGGAAATATGTAGTAATCATTTTAGTTATGTTTTCTTTAGATAACCATCCAATCACCTTTATTCTATATCTGTTTTTTCAAGTAAAGCTGATTGAGAAATCTCTTTAACCTGGTAGTATTTAAGAAGCATAAAAATACATAAAAATCTTTCCAGTAAGTAATCCAATATTCCTTTTAAATCTTGAGCTTAATGATTTTGAAAATTGAACCCTTTATTGTGTTGTTGTTGTTGCAAAAATCCTTATTTGCAGGTCAGAGTTTTACCAAATCTAAGACTCATCACCAAATCTCCAACCTGTGCATCTTTACTTACTGGTAATCCTGCTAATACTTAGTAGAGAGACACAAAGGCACAAAGAATAAACAGTCTTTTACCGGTAAATGTTATAAATAAGAAAGAACTGTGCGTTTAGGAGCCCAACTCTTTCGACAGCTGCAACAATTCCCTTTAGTTACGAAATGTTAAAAGTCCTGCTGGTGCATGTACTACATGCATGGATTATGTTTATACAACATGACTGTTATATGAGTAAACAAGATTTTTGCTGTAACACAGAAACATATAACAGAGACAACACTCTCAGACAACATTCTCAAGAACTTTAATCAGGCACTTTTTACCTTAAGTCTAGATGAATAGGTTTAAAATCATTTGCAGTCATCTTTGTTATGATTTCTCCTTCAAGGGAGACAAATGGCAGACTTTCATTTTTTTAACATATGTTATTTAAAAATATAACAAAAAGCAGTGGTGCTTATTTGTATATGGTGGTCAGGATATTCAAACATAAAGCCTGTATTTTCTAAGCCTGCTTAAATAAAATCACTGTAAAAGATTTGAAGATAACATAAGTATAGAACTACCTACTAAACAGGGCCACTAAGAACTCGTTATATTGTTCAGTAAAAGGTTGACAAAAACATATTAGTGCTCACGAACATGATTCGATGAGGGTATCTGCATAAAATGATCTGAAATACTCCAAGGTGCTTCTTGAAGACCATAGTATAAAATATTAAAACTTATTAGAGGATAAATAAAAAGTCAAAACAGGCAAATCTATGTTTAAATTATGTACATAACAATCCCCAAAACAAAATGGCCCAATTTAGAGCAAAAAAGCCTTTTTTTTTTATAGTGTTTTTGTCTTTATAGAGAAACATTAATTTACTAGATGAAAATTGCTTATTTTTCCGGAATAGTTTTGCTACCGACAGAACTAGTGATTTTTTCATAAACCTGTTTAAAAAGTACTTTTTTTTTTTTTTTTTTACAATATAGCATGAGAAACAATAAGGCCTAAAGTAAAAAAATGTAAGAAATCCATCGCCCCGATGCACAGGAAGAACGGGTGTCACATTTCCCTTTCCTTTGCACAGTTTAGGGTGACCTGTGATAAAGACCTTTTAGCTTTTCACATTCATTGTAAGCAGTTAAATATACAGGGTTTTTTTTTTCTAAAGATGTTTCATTTAAGAAATCAAAGAAATCTCTTGTACAACAAATATTTACATTTAGGTCATGAACTTTTAAACACATTAATGAGGAACCTCATTTGAACCACAAGTTTGAGAATACATAAAATGTCACAAACATACAGTACAAACAAGTATACAGTACAAGCTACAAATATACAGATATGTTCTGAGGTGTCTTCTACCCTTAACTCTTAACGCAACGTTTTATTGACAGAAACCACATCTAGGTACAAAAATATAAACAATGACTTTGTACAAAATATTGACATGTATAAATCCCTATTTAAATGTGCAAATTAAGACTAATAAACAAAGCAGAAATACATAAACATATACAAACACACACCACAGAAAGGCATAACTTTTTTTTGGCCTCTAAGTGATGTTTTGTCTTAAAAAGCACCACAGCTTCAGCTTTTTGGTCAGAAAATACAACTGCGCACTTGTTTTTTTTTTGAGAAACAGAACAAAGATGGTTTAATATTACAGCATTCAAGTTGCAGCCTGTGGTCCTACAGTAGCACAAGTTTTGAACAGCAGTGACTGGATTGTAATCCAGCAGTTTAGAGTTTAAATCCGTAGGTCTGCCTCGTCGCTGTGTTCAAAACTATGTTCAGTTGTGCTAATCAAGGAGGCAGAGGGGCCCTGTGAGACACTGAAGGGTGTAACTGCAGGAGAGCGTGCTGCCAGCGGTGAAAGAGATGGAGAAAAACTTGGAGACATCGCAACCGAGGAGATGGACCCCTCAGCACTGATGGGTGATCTTCGTAACGAGGCCAGGTGAGAGAAAGTCCTTGTGATTGCAAGTTTTGGGGGTACAGTTTTGGCCCCAGGGTGGGCCACAGAGGTTATGAGAGGCGGAGGGTCAATCCTCGACTCTGCTTTTGCTTTGTGTTGAAATGACCTCCGGGAATGAGAGGGAGCAGTTTCATCTTTTAAACGTGCTATTTCTGTAAAAACATTAGCTAAAGGTTGAAACTGAGGGCACCAATTTAGAAGGTAGTCCCAGTTGTAGCTGCCCCTCAGCTCCTCATCACCTGCCACAATGGCTGTAAGGGAGCCATCCACAGGGGGTTTCCCATCCTCTGGGAAGGTATAGTCTTTTGGCTGGGAGATGCTGAGTCCTCGCCCGACACCTACGTATCCACCCCTATCATCCCTGTAGACTGGCACCTGGCCAGCTATCAAAGTACTATTTGTGCTGCTCACTTTCTTTCCTTTAAACCAGTCCAAAGATGGTTCACATGAAACATCTGAGAGCTGATCAGCATCCTGCTGAATTCCAGAGTCTGGACCTCGGGCAGAAATACGCTCCTGCATGGAAGAAGAGATGCTTGACACTCGAGGATACTCATTAATCATTCGTATTTCGTCATCCTCAGCTGCCTCTGCAGATCCACGGCCACTAGAGTGGGACGGATCAAGGGAACCCCCACGAGTGTATGGTCCACCAACATTACCACTTTGGTCAGATGCATACCCAGGAAGGGTTTGATGATATATAATTTCACTTGCTGCTAGTTTTGTTTCCTCAAAATTGTGCAGTAAGGTGCCTGACATTGGGTTTCTCTTATGGGTTCTTTGCTCCCTTTTACGACGTTGCAACCTAACAAAAAATAGTGCCACAGCAATTACTATCAAAATCATTATCGTCCCAAGCGAAACAGCAATGACACTGACAAGCAACATGCTCATGTCTGTAGTAAGGCCAAAGGATGTATGGCTGACATCTACGAAAACTTTGGCCACTGCTGTGCGAGAAGTATCTACAGGGCTGTGAGCAGTCACTTCCAGAGTAATCACACGTATCTCTCTTTTAGAGCGGCTCACATGTCTACTACTGCTGTCCATCTTTATTGAAATTTCTCCGCTTGATTCATTGACTTCAAAGTAAGGCGAATGTTCTGATAATGAGTAAAGGACAATGCCATCCACACCTCCATCCTCATCACTGGCATGTACTTTGCCAATGATCTGACCTCTCTTTGCTCCTTCAGGCACTTCAAATGTGAAGTCTGATGAGATGAAAACAGGATCGTATTCATCCTCACCTGTGACATAAACCTGTACTGTTACGGTGGCAGAATAATTGCCAGCATCCATGGCGACAGCTACAAAATAAAAGTAGTTGACCTTCTCAAAGTCAAATGTAGAGCGTGTTCGTACTTCACCTGATGTTTGATTTATGAAGAAATCCTCTTGTCTATCTTTAGAGGTATCTAAGAGGTAATACTTCAGCTGTCCAAAGACTCCCTTATCATGGTCAACTGCATGCAGCATTGTAACTAAGGCATTTGGGGGTTGGTTCTCCCTGACACTTGCAGTTACTGATTTAAGAGGGAAGAAAGGCCTGTTGTCATTTATGTCTTTTACCTCGATATGTACTGCAGCCAAAGCATAATGGCCCTGAACATCAGTCGCCTGGACAACAATCATATGGGATAGCTGTGCTTTGCTGTCTAAAGGTCTTTGTAGCCTCAGTACTCCAGTCCAACGATCCACCTCAAACAGATTTGTCTGATCTCCTGAACTTATAGTGTACTGCACCTCTCCATTGGGGGCAGAGTCTGGATCTGTGGCTGATAAATGTAAGATCTCTGTCCCGATTGCTACACCCTCACTTAGTACAACACTGTAATCTGTTCTACTGAATGTTGGAGGGTTGTCATTAGCATCTGTTATACTGATTAGGACTGGCACACTAGAGCTACGTTGGGGGATCCCCCGATCTGATACCACAACAGTCAGGTTATAAGTTGGGAATGCTTCAAAGTCAAGCTTTTCCATCAGAATCAGGCTGCCGACTGTCTGGAATCCCTGACCCTCCAGGAAGTGCACACTACTCTCAATCTGGAAGGTATTACCAGAGTTGCCACTGGCAATTGCAAAATCAAAACCACAGTTTTCCCGAAAAAGGTCTCCATCCACGGCTTCTAATGTGAGAACAGTTGATCCAGGAAGGCCATCCTCAGAGACAGTGGCTCTGTACTCGGACTGGTGAAAAACTGGAGCGTTGTCATTGACATCGGATACATGGATCTGAACAGTGGCGATGGATGATAGAGATGGAGTACCATGGTCCCTTGCTTCAATAGCAACAAGAATGGAAGGATGTTCAAAATCCAGTTCTGTCTTCTGGTTGATAAAAAGAGTTCCTAAAAAAAAAAGAAAAACTGAATGAGCTTTTCAAAATAAATGGAAATTTACCCAGTAGGATACTTGTGGTGCCGTGCAATAAAATATGTACGAAATTAACTTCTTAAAATTTATTCAATATAAAATACTTTGACTTAAATTTATTTTATTCTGATTTTAAGTGACAGACAAATCAGAAAGAAAAAACAAAAAGGATAGTTAGTTAACTATTAGGGTGGAATGTTATATTGCACAGTAAACCTTAGGGCCCTTTCAAACCTTGCCGATTTAGCCATCGTAAGCCTGACACCCCAGAATCTCCTAAAATGCTTGCATACTCTGAACTTTCTAAGTATTTTTTCAATTTTGGGCGTATACATAGCATAGTCAAAACGAGTGCAGAACTTATGTCCAACGACAGCCTGACTTATGCATAATGCACTGCATCACCCTATGATGGGGATGAAGTCTGAAGGAGAACTGACTGTTTCTTCCTGTGAACCCCCTTTCACACCGGAACGCTGCAAATATGCCATTATACGTTAGCTGTAAGTAAGAAACATGTTAAGTGTTGGTCTGAAACACGTCAAATACGTTGATATACGTTGGAGGTAAGTTCTTGATAAGTTACGCATAAGTTATGCACAAGTTACTCAAAGGTTTTGGATAAGCTAGATGCCACAACTTATGGATAAATAACACTAAACATATGTCAACGATCAGATAACTTACCTATAACTTATGCTGCACGTACAGTATGGCATATGTCGTGAAATTTTTAGCATGCTCAAAACTTCTCTATGTACCAGCGTGTTTCAGCGTGTTCATAACTTTTACAAAACGTACCCAGAACTTATCGAAAGTATGCCAGCGTTTTTGAAAGATTTTTCATGTGTTAGGCATACGCTGGTCTAAATCGTCAAGGTGTGACAGGGGCTTTCCAGAAACATAAAATGTAGGTGTTTTTATACCATACCCTCATCACATTAACCAACATTAACATATATTGCATGTTCTTATGACATTTTATTTTACCTTAATATCTACATTGCCAGGCAAATTTTGGGTAGATTTGTCATTCAAAAGCGTTTACTTTCTTCTAACACTTTCTCACCTTAGATAAATTGAGAGGACAATAAAATTATGAAACAATGGTATATATAATTTTGTAGCAAACAAAATGAAATTTGAAAAGGCTAAAATTAAAATCATATTAGATTTTTCAATATAACCACTTTGCTTTGATTACCGCTTACAAAACCTTGGCATTATTTTAGGTAGTCATCTAAAAAATGTTTCCAATATAAATTACAAAAGATGTACCATTGCAAAAGAAAGTGTGTCAAAACTTTTGACTGGTAGTGTAAATTATCTTGGGTAGCACATAGTATGATGTTACACTAAACTGCAGGTCGGATCACTATTTGAAAGTGGATGAGGTAAATTGATTAATACTGTGAAACATTACAACAGTAAGTGAGACTTTTACAGTAGCTTTGGTGGAGATTGCATCAAAATATTTGTGTTGAAAAACATGTAGGTTTTATTTTGTTTTCGGGTACAAAATATAAAGAAATCTCTTTTCCTTGTTCCAAACACCTTCCACATTAAATCAAAGCATGTACTAAATTAATTATTTCATTTTATAGTAAAATAGACATAAAGCACCTTGAAATATGGAAACTTTCTTACCATTATTTGGATCAATGAAGAATGCCCCCTTAGTGGATGACATCACTCTGTAGGTAATTTTGCCGTTCTCGCCAGAGTCACGGTCAGTGGCTGTTAAGGTGATCAGTGCACTGCCTGCTCCTTGGTGCTCTGACACAGTAACCTGTTCAGAAACAGAACACGTCTATAATATATACCCCAATGACTTTTAAAAAATAGTTTTCTACTCTAAGTGATGAAAAGTGACCTTGCAATTATTCTTTTTAAAAGGTGCATTTACCTGATAGAAATCCTGAGTAAACACGGGGGCATTGTCATTCACGTCATCAACAAGAATGGTGAGATTGGCTTCGCTTTGATGTTTGGAGTCAGATGAGCGCACCGTCAGCGTGTACCACGTCCTCTCTTCATGGTCAAGAGAGCCGGTCAAAGACACTCCTCCCCCATAATGATGAATTCCAAACATGCCTTGGCTGTTAGCATCCAGGTGTAATGTATAGGACAGCGGTGGTTCTGAGTCAACATCATTTCCTGTGACCCGGGTGATAACTGTCCCAATAAGAGTATCTGTATATATATATATAGGAAATAAAACAAGTCATTTGCTGTGCATCTGAAATAAAGCATAGTCTTTCTAATGAAAAACATTTTTTCTATGAAGAAATATCCGGTTCTAAAAGCCTGGACTGAAGATACAGGAAATGAACGCAGAAACACTGGCAATAACTTGTTTCATAAAAGGAGTTTGATTTTTCTCACTAAGCTCCGCTGAGCAAGCTGCCAGGGAGCATGATGAGAGGCTTTATGATAAGATCACTGAACTAACTTCCACTGGGATGCTTACCCTCAGGCACCCGGATCTCTCGTGGCACAGGAATCATGGGACTGTTGTCATTGAGGTCTACGATGATCACAGTTAGGGTGGCAGAGCCAGCCAGCCGTGGGGTTCCCCGGTCTGTTGCCACAACAACAAGCCTGGTGCCAAAAGGGATATCATTATCTGAACTGTAGTTGAACCCGGATACATAAGCCATCGCATCAAATAAGACAATGAAGATTCACTATGTGAAAGAGCTGTATAAGAGCTGTATGAAAATTAAGATATATTTTTCTTAATTCAATTATCTCAAATGTTGTTTTCAACCCCTTTGGTGCATTTCTATGCCTGAAACCAATTTTTTAAAATATGGTCAACTAGAAAACCAAGAAAATGCATTGCATTAAAAAGTACGTACATGAAAAAAAATCAATGGTATGTATTTAAATAAATTCTAAGGGGGAAATAGTTCAGTTTATATTTATTTTGATTTTACATTAAAAACAAATGCTCACATTTGGTGTAAAAAAACAACAACATTATAGTTAAAAACTATTTAGTCAGACACAACTTAAATGCATACATATATGAAATTTGGATTGTCCATAAACCTAAGTTGTCCTTCCTACTCCTTTCACTTCAGCTCTCAGCTTGTTTTCTGTAGGATTTAGACCAGAGGACTGAGGACAAGGTTTATTTTGTTTTGGTGAACTATTTCTGTGTTGATTTGATCATTTATTTACTACCATTATTCTGCTGAATGACCTAATTATTTCCAGTTTTCAGCACTGTACTGGAAATCTGTTGGGTTCTTGGAAATAATTACACCCACAACCTAAGAAATCAACAATTTTAGGTTTGAAGTATTTACCTCAAACAGAAATGAGCTAACATCTCTATGTGTACGTTAATGCAATTCAGAGTGATTCATCTCAAAATTACTCTAATAATCTGAAAGAGGAATTAGATGCCGTTTTAACCCTCACTACCTAGGTTTCTTCAAAGAGCCATTATAGTTGGTTATGACTGTAGGCGGATATAATCTTCTTTGGTGTTTTGATGTTTGAAAGCATAGACCATAAAAATAGAGGCAGTGTTAAGAAAAGCTCACTTTGTTTGGGTCCAGATCTCCCGGTCCATGATGGCACCAGTGGTGATGCTTCCAGTCAAGGGGTCAATCTTGAATAACCCACTCATGGACGATGACCTGATGGAGTATGTCACCTGTGCATTTTGACCCTGGTCCATGTCATCTGCAGCAACCTAATTACCAAATGAAAAGAAACACATATTTGGAAATATTCACAATTGCTGTTTTAGTGTAACTTCAATTTGGGTCACAAGCTTAAAAAACAGGAAAAAAAAAAACTGAAGAACAAACTTTATGGCACTAGAAAAGGATTTTAAATGATGAATTATTGAGTGCCTTTTTTTTACATTATGAAGGTTTGAAATCAAAACATTCACCTAGTTGTGTTTTATGCCCTGCATTTTGTTTTCTTAAAGGACAAAACAACGCACTGTCAAGGCTAGCATCTACTCTGCCAGTGTAGCAAAGGATTGTTTATTTATTTATTGCCCTGTGGACAAACTTTGATTAGTTTAAATATGAGTTTAGGAAAAAAGGTTATGATGAGCAAACCAAATGTCATCATCTGAACATAAACAGATGTAAAAAAGCCCTTTATTTATTTGTTTTTTTCAAAAAGTAATTTCTAACATTTAGATATAACAGTATATAAAAGATATAACAAATAAATTCTGGGAACTGAAAACCCTTTGTTCTGAATCCAACTTAAATTTTTCCATAACTATCCAGACTTGGGAAATGAAAATTTAGGATCAAATTACAAACTTTCCAGACTGTTTAGGAGCTCTCAAATAAATTCTTGTACAGCAATAAGAAAAATACATAAGACTAGCTACAGCACCTGGATAATGGGGGAATTGTGTCCCTGTGCCTCTCGGATGTATGCCACATAGTTCTGGAGCTGGAAGCGGGGCAAGTTGTCATTCACGTCCTGTAGAATCAAGTTAACAGCCATGTAGGAGCTGGAAGACGATGTTTCTGCTTTCACAACAAGGCGGAGTTTTGGGGTTTCCTCAAAGTCGAGTCCTTCAGATTTCTGCACCCATATTTCCCCTGGTTCATCAGAGAACAATAACATCAGAAAGTTAACCACTGACTTAGATCTTCTTGCACATTTTTTAGCCTTTAGTAAACATACCTGTAATGGGGTTTATCCCAAAAGACTGCAATTTGTTTCCACTAAAAATGCTGTAGATGATGCCAGTTTTGGAGCCATCGGGATACTGGGCTTCTGTCTTTGTCACTACCGTTCCTAAAGCATTAAGAAAATACAATGTTAAAACGTTGCCATATGATTTTTGTTGTTTACATCACAAAGCAATATGATTCATTCAAACCTTTTGCAGCATTCTCTTGTAAACTGACATCTCTTGCTGTACGAGAAAAGCGGATCCCTCTGTAGTTTTGCTCCTTAATATAAATGATAACAACTCCCAGTGAAGACTGAGCAGGATTTCCTTGGTCCATGGCCTGAACAATCAGAGTCCTCTGGGTTTGGGTGAGGGACTGAAGCTTTTCTGTGCACTGGATGTCTCCTGTTAGTGAGTTGATTGTAAACCCCCTCACAGGGTTGGCAAAACGATAAAAAACAGACCCATTAGCTCCAAAGTCCTTATCTTCAGCCCTCATTGTGGCTAAGATTCCCCGACTAGAAATGGAGCTGGCAGAGATGTTCAGAATAAGTGGATCCTGGATGAAGAAAGGGGAGTGGTCGTTCACATCTTGGATGTAGATAGTAACTTCAGCAGTTGAATTCAGGGGGTTTGTGGGAGAGGAATCGGTGGCGCACACCATAAAAGTGTATGAGGCAGTTTTCTCTCTATCTAGGGCTGCAGCTGTGATAATACGGCCCGTGTTCTGGTCTATGATGAACATGCTCTGAGAGCCGTGGCTCAGGAAGTAGAGGATTTGACTGTTGGGTCCATTGTCCAAATCAATGGCTCGGACTTGTAGAACCAGGGAACCGATGGGAACATCTTCTGCAATGTCCGCAGTATAGCTGCTGCTTTCAAACTGTGGACTGTGGTCATTACTGTCAAGAACTGTCACTTCAACAGTAGTACTACTGCTAAGTGGAAGACTGCCCTTGTCCTGAGCTACAACTGTTAATGTATACCCAGGTCTCTTTTCCCGATCTAGTGGCCTTGAAGTATACAGCAGGCCTGTTTTCTGGTCAATGTGGAAGTTTCCGGATGGATCCCCGGCTGCCAAAAAAAGAAAAATATGGGTGTTTCACAATGAAGCATCATCATCCTTTGACTATAAAATGTTTACAAATCATGTGGAAAGTAAAAAAAAGAAGAAAAAAAATATTATAACATAGTCACACCTGAAATTCTGTAGTGAATCTCTCCACTGTCTCCCTCATCTGGATCTGTGGCCTTTACGGTAAAAAGAGGTAGCGCCTCCATATTTTCAGGCACCTCTATGCTGTGGTAGAGACGTCCAAAAACAGGGGCGTTGTCATTGGCGTCAAGGATCTTGATCTTTACTGTTGCTTTAGCATAGTTGGGTGGGAGGCCTCCATCTTTTGCATAAACTGGCAGATCATCAAAAACACACAGTATAGTTAGTCTAAAATAATTCAAAGCAGATGTTTGAGAATTTTATAACCTATAGTAAAACTACAGTATGCCTCTATAACCTTTCAACATTTTATCACATTACAATTACAATCATCAATGTATTTTATTGGGCTTTTATTGGATAAACCAACACACAGGGTGCTTAATTGTGAGAAGGGAACCAGATATTTTTTTTATTTTATATCAATAAAAATGAGGGGAAATATATTCAGCTCTGCTGAGTCAACACCTAATGGAAAATCTTGCAGAGATATATTTGCAGGAATAACTGCTACAACTCTGTTAGGATGTTTTCCCTCCATGACCCGTGGAAAAACTTTGTAAAATAACACTGATTCAGCAAAATTAGGCATAGGATATCTTACATATACATTATTCATTTAGGTCTGGATTTATACTAGGCTAGTTTAAAACATGAAAATTCTTCATACAAAACATTTCCGTTATAGCTCTGGATCTCTGTTTATGGCTTTGGTGGAAGTTGAACATTCCCCCAAACCTAATTTTTTTGCAGCCTCTGACAGGCCTTCTGCAAGAATTCCCCTATAGTTAGCTTCTTCCAATTAACAAGCCAGTTTCCTTATTCCTGTCAAATAAAACATACCCACAAATTAAGCCTACCAGCACCAAGTCTCACTGTGGGAACTCTTTATGAACCTCTTTCAACAATAACTTGTATGATGGTACCTTATCATGTTCCCTTTGACAGACAATGTAAGACAGACCTGTGTAAAGTCAGGAAAACAAGGTGGTCTAACATTTTTTTCTACATCTGACTATATTTCCAACATAGCCGTGCTTCTAAACAGAACTGTGTGCTCTTACTATTTGGACTTCATGATGCATAATTTTTAATAGGCCTTCAGAGATCATATGCATTTACCATTTAGTTTGTTTAAATGACACATGGTTTAACACTCCTCACAAATCTTGATTTCTGAAGGCACTGGTCCGATTGATCTGGGATTTTATTTAGGGGTCTTAGGGTAAAAGGGGGTCTGGATAGAAATTCACCGCACAATTTTTAGAATCCCCTACTTCACAATATGCCCAATATGTGTTGAACTATAACCAGTTTGGGGTTGCAACATGATGAAATGTGAAATAAAATTAAGGGATGTGAAAAGTTTTGCACGACACTAAAGGGATAAAAAAAAATGAGGACAGTACCTGTGATAGAATAATAATCCTGAAGCTCCCTATCCAAAGACTTAGTGGTTGTTATGACCCCTGTGACCGGGTTGATCGTGAAACTTCCCTGTGAGATGTGATATGTCACAAGCCCATTGGTTCCTACAAAAAAAAAAAAAAAAAATTCAGTCACAATTAGTTAATGTAGACCAACTGCATAACAGCAAAATAGTTCCTTCTAAAATGTTCATCATAAGTAAAAAAAAAAAAAAAAAAAAAAAATGCTGTGTAATTTTAAGCCTTAACCCTTATTTGCTGTTAATTTTTTTTTGTACAAGCATTTGGCACTAATAACCCCCTGCGGTTGCTAGGATGCCAGATTGCGTGCTAAAAGAAAGCAGTCTGGCAGCTTCACTTGTTTACTTCGCTAATTGCTTCTAAGTAGGAAGTTTATAATCCTTCTGTTTTATGTGCTTCTAAGTTCAGGCCAATATGTTTTTTTTTTCTGTATCTTCTAGCCTCCTGTGAAGCCTTTAATTTGAAACAACTGCCAATGTCAATGAGGTGAGCATAAAAGGCATTTTTGTAACATCGCTGTTTGATTGGGTTTGAGTAGAAATAAATTTGATCTACTCTTCTTCTTCAAATTATATTAAAAAGTCAAATAAGGGTCAGATTTCTGTATCACCAATCCCTCCATTCATTAAACTAACACTGAAAAGGATGATAATGCTTATTTTGAAAATGTCCATATCAAAGCTGTTAACATACAGCTGAAGTACATGTGGGAGAAGTGTGGTTTATGTGTTGCATACTTCACCTTGATCCAGATCAGAAGCCGACACTGTTAAAACACTTGTTCCTGCAGGTTTGTTCTCAGAGATTTGTGCTTCATAATGGCTCTCTTCAAACCAGGGCACTTCATCGTTGACATCAATCACTTGGACACACAGAATCTGACTAGAAGAGCGCTGAGGTATCCCATGATCCTCTGCAGTTACTGTGAGGTTAAAGATATCCTGCTCCTCACGGTCCAGTGATTTGAAAATAGAGAGAGAGCCTGCAAAGAAATGAATGAAAGGTCAAACGTGAGCGGAAAAAAAAAGTCTTGTTTTTGTGTTTGGGCTATAGTTTAAAAAAGGCAGTTACAAACAAAACCTTCAGTGTGTTATCAAAGGCTATAAAACAAACCGCTTTCAGAATTGTGTGACTACAGCTTATTTAAATAGTAAGTGTGAAAAGTTGCCGTGTGAGGGCCAAATCAAAGCTAATATCCTCCACACACACACACAGTGTTGCCCACCTGAGAGCCACTACCACCACTATTGTAACAGCCCAACCCGTCTGGCCACAGTTTACGAGATTTTCCATTGAGGAATACCACAGCCATCGAGAGAGGAGCCGTAAACACACACTGCAGACACGCAACAACCAGGCCTGCCGTGCTCCGGAGAAATTAGGAGCACCCTTGGCTTTTCATTATCCTGCCCTTAGAGGTTAGAGCTTGCGTTGATTCAATTTCAATTTCATGCTATTCAATGAGATGCAACTGTTTAAGGCAGAGAGGCTGAAAACTGTTTTCTCTTGAAGTTCTTTATGTTTTTTTCATGTTGTGTTTTGTTAGAAATTAGATAACTTGCCCCTAAGCCTTAACCTGGTAAAAGTTAAGACCTAAATTTGACTCTTCTCTGATCCTGCCATGCTTTCATTCACTGATAACATTTGGCAAGGGAAACAAAGACTGTGGTTTATTCAATAAAGGATTCTGGTTGTTTTTATGCCAATGTGTCACACCTGTGTAGATTTATGATGCCATATTACTTTTAGACCTCACTGCTGCCTCTGAT